ACTTATTCGTGTGTGTATTGTTGCAATATGTACCTATGGTGTACTTCCCTATAGTAATACGTTAGGTAAGCCGGTATAGTGATATACGGGTGTGTGCGTAATAGTGTAATACCTAGCAATGCGTGTACTCGAAAATGTTTGTGCCCGTTCAAGGGGGAATATTATAATATATTATTATATTTAGACTAATAATAGCTGTGATCTAATCTGAACTGCTGAACGATTTTTTTACAGGAAACATTATCATACCTACTTTAAAATTGTATTACTATTCACTCCCTTTTTTTTTTTAAAAAAATCACTTGAGATTCGGGACGTTTAAAAGTCTATTATTTTAGTAACGGCTCGTAAACTTATTGAGCAGATATTTTTTAAATTCTCCGGAAACAAATCACGTTTTTCTGCATTTGCAGGAATTTGAGACATACTAATAATATTAAGGTACCAAAATACTTAAGGTCTGTACTAAAAGATTTTGGTGTGAACTCAATTAATGTATTTATGTCTCCTTCTGGTGTTCCCAAGGTGGTCATTGTCACCACTCCTCTTTTCAGTTTTCACTATTCGTTAATACTAAATTGTGATACCAAAGTTTTAAATTGTTGTAAACTACTTTGTTTCGAAGATGCAAATAATTCTTTTGATCACTGTCTTTACTTCAAAACGATCTAGATATTTTTTTGCCATGCCTGCACCGAAAGTTTGGTTTTCGATAGCGGTTGAAGCGTTGGAAAGCGTCTTTTTCCGTCCAGCAGGTGGTAAAGTGGGAATCTCTAAAAGTGCCAGGCGATAAAGTGGAAATCCCAAAAAGTGCTGGGCACACATATCACGTGCGTATCCCCTGCACAACCAGACACTGAAATCTATACCATGGTCCTTACTAAACAAAAACTTTTAGTTGCATCTTTTTTCATATTATAACCTTCGTGCGTGACGCTTAAAATAAATAAAACCAAATCGTTTCTTTCATGAAATATTGTTGTCGTAGAATTATGGTCTAGTTTAGATTCTGCATTACCTTTGCCGTGATCGATGAATGTAGAGACGTGACAAAAAATAGTATTGTGGCTCGTGCTGGAAGGCAATACATTTCAGTCTTGGGCAGCACACGTCACCCGCGACTGAAATAGGTAACTTCCCGCCCTTGCCACACAATATACTATTTCTAGATGAACTCAAACGCTTAACTTAACTTTGGAACTTGATAAGTGTCATATTATTATGTCATTCGAGAGAAAACATTCTGTCATTATGTGGTCCTGTGAACTAAGCGATTCAGACATTGTGCGTGTTGAAACTATGTAGTAGACTTGAGCTTTAAGTTTAAAAATTCTTTTGATCCTGAACTACATATCAATGTGATATATTGTAAAGCTTACAAGATGCTTGGGTTCATAAAAAGATTAGTACATAACTTTAAACTTGGAATAGGTATCATTAAAAATTATTTTTTGCTCGCTTGTCCGTCCGATTTTAGAGTACGGTGCTGTTTTCTGGGATCCCCATACATCAGGTAACTCTCTTCAGCTTGAAATGGTTTTCATTTTGTTAGGTTAGGTGGATTTATACTACACATACTCCATCCACCTCTGTTTCCGAATTATACTTAATATGGATACTCTTGCTAGACGAAAACATACTCTAGGGCTGACGGTATTAAAAATAATTTTCGGTATTACGGTATTGATTTCAATACCAGATTGAAACGGTATACCGAAAAACCGAAACCTAAATGATTCCGTATATACCTAAATACCGATATGGTACGGTAGGTATACCGAAATAATAAATTAAATCTGACTAGTATCAATATTTTTTACATTAATATTGTTTCACATTATATACTTTATTGAATACTATAATATATAATTATAATCTATAATATTGCCATTGATACTAGAAAACAAAAAAACTTTTTTTGCTGAATGTCCCAAAACATTACTTTTCAAGCACAACATTTGTTTCATACATCAAAGAACATAAAAAGAAAAACTTTTATTTTACAGTTTTTTTAAACTTTTTATTTTTTGAACAGTTCTTTAAGTAGGTACATTTTTCGTTTATTGTCTCATAGAATTGTCTGAATGGAATAATGGATACAATTTGATAACAATTAACCGATAACTACACACCACTACAAATTTAAAAATTAAATGAGTGTTATTTATGTTCCTCTGTTATATTATTTATATTAGGTATGTTTTTACCTATGTACTAGACAATAGCTGTAGCGGTTTGACAAACGACAATTTCGTCACGCACAGGTAGATTATATGATTATTTATAGATAAAATATGGGGTTTTATTTACGACATGCATCAATCGCGATAAAGCCAAATTATGTAAATTTAAACAATATTCAAATAGATTTTTAAGGAATTTTTTTTAAGTTTTCAACATTATTATTCGTTAGTGCAATAAGTCGTATTTTTAAAAGAATTTATTTTGTGTTTAGAACATTTGAATAGGCGCTATATTATGTATTATTTTGATTTATGACAATTATAAATTATAATATTATTATACATTTGAACGGCCCGGGAGCATAATAATAATAAGACGTTCTCGCGGTCACCAAATATTTCGTCAGTGCCACTGAGCACTGGCCGTTATATTTAAATTTATTATAATACACAATGTGTTATGTCTTATGTAGTTACGTAGTTATATGTTTATGCGTTCAATAGCGGTTTGGCTTGCCAGGCAAATGCTGATGTGTTAGTGTGTTACGAGAGAAATTGTTTATTTGTGTACTTGTGTGCATGTATGTTTTTAAGTATATTGTATATGTGTTTTGTGTGTAGGAACTTACACAGTTAGACTAAGGGCGAATTGTAACAAGGTATAATTATCAATTGGCTAATATGTTACATTGTTGGCATTTGTTGATTTATCTGCAAACACACACAAGACAGAAATATAATAATTACCATTTACTATTTTTTTTCTTGGTCAAAGAGAAATTTAAATAATACAATTATTTATTACAATATTCAAAAGAGAATTATTAGTCTTCGGGACTAAACAATAATTAACGTAATAATTTCTACTCACCTTTTTTTTTTTGTATAAGTAACGCAGACTGGCCTCACCTTCAAATCCTAAAATAATATTTTTTAATACACATTTAACAAAAAACTGGGAAAGTTGCTCTGCTGTGTAGTAGGTTTTGAGTGCCTTATCATCAGTCTTGTAAAGTATTTGAGTAAAAGTATTTGAGTAAATGTATTTAAATACTTTTTAAATACTTTTTGAATAAAGTATTTGGAAAGTATTTTAAATACAGTTTTGGACGTATTTGTATTTGAAAATCAAATACTTTTATTTAAATACTTTATCGATTTTTTTTTTCAATAAAAAATGATTATTTATTATCTTTTTTCTCAGAAATCAAATTAATATCATGACTAAATAATAATATAGTCATGAGTAATATCATTGAAATTTAGTAAGTTTATTCCCGACATAGCTTCCTAAAATGCAAAATATTATTGTTAAACTCCAAACTATAAACATAGAACCATAATGAAGCGATACTCAATCAGCTGATTCGGTTTACGACTTTACGTTTACCTATGATCTTATTTTTTTCCTGTTGAATAATTGAATAGTATACATACGTAATATATACATTAATACAAATATTTTCACTACAGAAATATAGCATTTATATATAAATTATTTCCTCCAGAAGCTAGGTTTGTTGTGGAGATAAAGGTTCTTATAATATCTATTTAGTTCTCATACAATAAATAATTAAAACGATCATTCGGTGATTATTTACTTATCATACAATTATAGGTACCTTGGTTAGTACCAGAATATGGAACATGCATTATAATATATGAACTATTAAGTATTAACTATATAATAATAATTAATATGTACAGTTTGAATGAGTTTGATCTCGTGGTCAAATTTAAAGTTAAAATATCAGAGAAAAAGTATTGAACCCAAAGGTAAAACTTAAAACAAATGTATTAAAATAAGTATTTGTATTTGTTCTTAAATACTTATTGAAAAAAGTACTTTAAATACTATTTAAATATTTTTTAAGTTGATGTATTTGTATCTTTATTTAAATACAAATTAAAAGTATCTTTTTACAAGATTGCTTATCATTGATAAAATATCAACCTCTATTAGTATTTAGTATAAGAAAATCTAATAATATTTCTATACATATTACTATTATAGAAGTGCATACTGTCTATTTACTATATAGTACGGTATGTTGTCATGTTGAACTAATTTTTGTCAAAAACATCGCATAGGTATTCCAAATGAAGTATTAATCATTATAATATATATATTAAAAATAATAACATTATGTGAATGTTAATAATGTTATTAACTTAAGCCAATACCACGTACCCATAGTAGAACGGTGTCAATATATTATATAGGTCCGTGATATAAATGGCTTAAAATTAATCTAAATAATTTCAAAGTATTGTGTATAGAAAATGATAATTTAAATTATAGAGGAATGTTTGAAGTTTCTACAACTTTTGAATTAAAACAAATTAACAAAAATCGGTTATGGATATTGTTATTTTACGTTTAAATATCTAATGTAATGTGGATTTAAGCTAAACTTTTTTAAATCTAATAAGTTAATAAATAATTCAACTATTATGAGGAATCTTGTATTAAAATTTCAAGTTTATGTACTTACATACAAATAAATAAATAAAATAAATCGAAAATTTCAACTGACAATAAATAGCATAGGATTATCCAAAATATTTTGAGAATTAAATCAT